AATCGGTATTGAGAAAAAGGCATTGGCCAGATAATAGCTATATACCAAGTACCAGGAGATGTACTAATTTGCTCAAGCAATGAAACCACATCAGGAACAGCGCTGCAATTGGAGTCACCACCTGATTAAATTTACAATAATCTACTGTCATTCTCCAAGATCCATCTGTTTTTAGCACAAACTGAACAGGCGAATTAAATGGGGATGTGGTGGGAATCATGACCCCTGCTTCCTTCAAGTCCTTGACAGTGGCAGTAATCTCTGCAACCCCTCCAGGGATGTGGTATTGCTTTTGATTTACTATTTTTGTAGGTAGAGGAAGTTCTAATGGCTTCCACTTGGGTTTTCCTACCATAATGGCCCTCACTCCACATGTCAGGAACCCAATGTGAGAATTTTGCCAATTGCTCAGTATATCTATTCCAATTATGCATTCTGGAACTGGGGAAATCACTACAGGATGGGTTTGGGGACCCACTGGACCCACTGTGAGATGCACCTTAGCTAGACTCCATCAATAACTTGACCTCTATATGCCCCCACTCTGACTGGTGGGTCACAATGATGCTTCGGGTCTCCTGGAATTAGTGTCAATTCAGAACCAGTGTCCAGCAATCCCTGAAAAGTCTGATTATTTCATTTTCCCCAATGAACAGTCACTCTTGTAAAAGGCCTCAGATTCCTTTGGGGAAGGCTGGGAGAAAGACTGACATTATATATTTTTGGCAATGTAGTGGGGCTTCCTCAAAGGGACCCAGCCTCCCCTTCATTCAAGGGGTTTTGGGTCTGTAAACTGACTTGAGTCTGGGAATTGATTGAGAGGCTGTGACACTGTATTCTGGCAATTCAATCTAGGCTGCTGTTCACATGACCTAGAATTCTGTCTGCACAGATCAAGTAAATATTTAGTAGGTTTGCCATGCATTTCACTACTAGGAGCACCATGTGCAAATAGCCAATGCCATAATTCCACACCAGTCAGACTATTCTGATTACTGTTCTTACTCTGCTGTCCATTATGGTAACCATGCCCACCTTACCTTTGTCGATTAACTGTTACCACTTGGCCCCTACTACCATGGGGTCCAATCAGCCCCATTGTAGTTAAGTGTCTTAGTTCAGTTAGGGCAGTTCCCACTGTCAAATCTGGGTTTACATAAAATAGCAATCACAGCAGTCTTCAAGAATGCTGGAGCTCTCTTAACAAATTTATTCCTCATTGTACTGGTGAGAGGCATGTCTTCTGGACTCTCCATTTCTGGCTGTAGGGGTCTAATCTGATGAATCCATTCTAATAGGCCAACTTCCCTAAGCCTCTGGATACCTTCTTCCACATTATACCAAGGCAGGTCTGGTACTTCAACTTGACTTAAGGTAGGCCACTGCATAATCCATGCCTCAGTAAACCAACCAATAAACTATTAGATCCTTTCCTAACCTCTCCAGCTGAAATACTGAATGAAGAATCCATACTTAGTGGGCCTAAATCAATAAACTCAGACTGATCCAATGTTACACTCCTTGCACTTTTATCCCACATCCTCAGTAGCCATTCCCGTACATTTTCTCCAGGTTTCTGTCTGTATATGTTAGCAAAATCAAGTAGGTTTTTTCAGGGGTAGCGTACCACCTCCTCAGTCACACTTTGTATTTCCTCTTTTGGGCTTGCTTGGACTTAACTTTAGTTATAAGTCTAGCAGCAACAATGAGTGGTTGTGGCAGTTCCTGAGAACATTCAGCAATGTCTTCCATGGCCTCCACCTCAGGCAATGACCCAGCAGGAACAGCTGGGTTAATCCCATCAAACTGAGGTGGAGGGTGATGGTTTTACACTAATCCCTTCAGATGGGGGAATCAACAGAATTTACAGCCTCTGTATCCTGATCTTCCTGACTATCTGCCTATATGTCCCCATTACAGGTTTCAGGATCCCATTTTTTCCCAATCAATGCCCTCACTTTAACTTCAGACACCATTCTGGGTTGGTAATTTAATTGGCGTTGTAATTCAGCCACCCTTACAACAAGACTCTGGGTTTAGTTTTCAGCAATATCAGCTCTGTTACTAGAAGATATAAGGCTTTGTTTCAGAGCACAACTGGAAACACTGAGGTCTTTTATGCGGCCTTGAAGCTGTGACTCAGCAGCTCATCTTGCTATTTTACCACTTTGTCTAGTGTAAGCAGGACCAACCAACCCGCTTCCTTATACTCCTCATGCTGACAAAATTGCAGAAAAGTATCAAATATGCGATCACCCAGAGCCTCAGTTCTCACAAGTACCTGATGTATTGGTGATGCTATTTTGCATATTTGTGTTGCCACCTCACGCTACAGATTAGCAGGGCCCTCTTTACTAACAGAGGCAGGGTCACTAGTGTCTTTATAATTAATCAAATTGGAGAACCAATTTAGGAAACCCATCTTTATGATTTTGTCTCTCTAGAACCACTCTTGGTACCAAATGTGTTAGACTGGGTTCTCCAGAGAAACAAAACCATTAAAGCTTATATAGAAAGAGAAAGAGAAATTTATTTTAGGAAAACGGCTCACACACTTATAGAAGCTGGCAAGTCCAAAGTTCTTGGATCAAACATCAAGCTGGAGGCTTTTCCTGAATCCCGCAGCTGCAGGGGCTGAGGAGCTCAAGGTTGGCAGGCAGTATACTGACCGTCGACTCCAATGGATGATGAATCCAAGATCTCCAGGCCGAATGGTGGACTGTTCGCTCACAGACAGTTGTAGGCAGCACAGCAGAATCCCAATCCACAGAAAAGTGTCTCTTTTCCCAGGATGTCCATAAATATACTGGGAGCAGGCCACCCCGCTAGGGAAACTCCCTTTCCGTGGACTGGCTGCTAAGAACATATACATCTGATTCCATCATGGGAATAACCACATCACAACTGCTTAAACCACACAGAATTATGGTCCAACCAAATTGACACACACACTAACTATCACAGCTGGGGAAGGTAATTGTTTGAAACTTTACAGTTTGCAAAAGGTTTTCAACCGTCTTTTCTCAACCCTATGGTGTAAGTTTCAGAAAATCCACTTCATAGAAGAGACGGAAGCCAGGAGGACAGGCAGCAAGTAGGTGACAGAGCCTGGACCCACTCTTAGGTCTCCTGCTCCCCCTGAGAAGAGACTCGGGAGCACATGACTGAGTTCAAAGCCTGGCTCTGTGACCACAATAAAATCTCTCTGGAACGTTTTATCTTCTGTGAACTGGAATCACTGCTGTTGTTACCTATAAGATGTCACAAGTCCAGTGCAGAGCCCAGCATCCACAGGCATCATGGGGAGTCACTCTTTCATCACTTGGGTGTGGAAGGGACCTATACCTATCCTCCCGTCCTGCTAGCTCCCACCAAACTCAGGAAGTAGCAGACCACAGCCCTTCTCATCTGGCCTGGTTGGCCCCTGCCCCCTAGCCCAAAGCTCCCCACCTCCCTGCCCAGCCCTTCATTGCCCCTTGGGGGTTTGCAGTGGATAGTAAGCTGGCCTCTGAGGTATGAGCAGCTCTGGGAAAGGGAGAACTAAATATGGCCACTGCAGCATTTTATTTGTCATGCTCATTTCTGGCCTTAATAGGCTGCTGCCCACAGATCACATCCGCAGGCCTGCAGCTGTGGTCCACACTGACCTAAGGAGCTCTGGTGGCCTAGTGCCTAAGGCATTTGACTGCTAACCAGAAGGCTGGCAGTTCAAACCCACCAGCCACTCCTTGGAAGGAAGGTTGGGCAATCCACTTCCGTAGTGATACCACCTCGGAAACCCAAGGAGGGGTGGCTATGAGTTGGATCTGACTTGATGGCAGTGTGTTGCATTGCGTTACACTGATCTAACTGAGTTGGGGAAGGAGAGGTGTGAGTGGGATGTGATACTGCCCTAGTACCTCCACCCATTTCCCACACAGGTACATCTGTACATGTCTAGAATCCTCCTGCCCGAGAATAAGTCAGGGGGGCTATTGTGCTTTCTGGAGCCTGGGAAGCGAGGGCCCTGGGCTTGGTGTGGGAAGAGGCCAAGAAACCCCAAGTGGCATCAGCCAAATTGGAGCAGCTCAGTTGGTCCATGGTGCCAGGTAACAAAGGTAGTACAAGGCATTTCAACTGAGACACTTTATTAAGCACAACAGTGAGCCAGGCTCCACACCAGGACACAGAGATGAGTAAGACCCAGTCCCTGCCCTCGAAGGGCTTACAGTCTAAGAGGAGAGACCAATTGGCTTTGGGCTGATTACTATACTCTAGAATAAAGTAAACTAGGGACCATGTATCCTACAGCACCTAACCCAGCCAGGGGCTTCAGAATGTTTCAGCTGAGAGTTAGCCAGCTATAGAAAAAACAAAACAAACAGGTACCCTAGGTGATGGAGCAGCATGGGCAAAGGCACAGAAGTGGGAAACCAGTCTGGTGCGTGTAGAGGACCAAGGAGAGCATATTGTGGCAGGCAGGGACTGGCCAGGAGGTGGTGCCCAGGGAGTGCAGGGTGCTGAAGAGGTGTGACGGTAGGATGGTGGGCTGTTGCAGAAGCAGGCAGCCTCTGCGGGGCTATGGCATTAACCACAAGAGACTCTTCTCTGCACCGTTTGAAGGTGGCAGCCCTTGGTCTAACAAGATTCCCTGTGGTTCACTGAGGAGGTTTTGGCCATGATGGGGCACCTGCTCAGGGCAGGTTCAAGCCCAGGGAACCACTGTCCTCCCAGCTCTACACACCAGTGAGGGCCACCAAGAATGTGTTCCCTACCCCGCTTGCAAGACACTTAATCTGAGTGTTGCTGTCTTGTGCCATCATGGATACGATTCTGTAGGTGGTGCAAGAAGGGGAGAAGCCTTGGGAAAGGCAGGAAGAATACATGGGCAGCTGCTCTTCTGCTTCCAACAGGATGCTCTCCCAAGAAGGGACCACCCAGTGAGGGCTCAGCCCAGATTCAGAGTGCACACGTGTGTGTGTATTGTGAGGGGGCTGGGGAAGAACTGGGATGCCTGACCTGGGGTTCCTGCCTTGGAGTGCCCCGCTAGGGGGAAGGCAGGAGGTAGCGGGTGAGCAGGTAGAGGAGGCCAGCGATGCCAGCCAGGCCTGTGAGGATGCCGAGCCTCAGTGGGAGGTACTCCAGGGAACATTCCAGCTCAGCGTGCAGGAGGATCACCTGGTGTTTGGTGATGCTCCACTCACCCGAGTTGTCCAAAACATGGTGGGCCATGCGGGCTTTGTCCTTCAGGGGCAGCTGGGCCGAGATGCGGGCCTCGGCATCCTCGTGGCTCAGGTTGTTCCGCTGCATGAGCCGCTTCAGCTGCGTGTCCCGGTCGCTATGAAGAGGATAAAAGGGCTGCTCCAGCATTGCAGGCCCAGCCTCCATTCTCCAGCAAGTCACTGGGCTGAGGCTGCCCTGTCAGGCCCAACCTGGAACGGGGTCTGGAGGGTGGACCTGTCTTGGAGTCTCCCCCCGACCCCAGGATGCTCAGAAATCCAACCCCAGAGAGGGACTTGGAACCTCACTGGCTATCCCTGCCTCATCCCATTCCTTGCAAGGACCCTGGTGGCTCTGTGGGCCACCCAGGCCCCTCAGTATCTGCAAGGTGGGGAAGGTTTGCAGCAGGTGTTTTCTGCCATCAGGGATCTTCCTGCTTTGCCACTCGGCCTGAGTTTCCCCAGCTATAAGATGGCAGGATTTGATCCCCTGGAATCAGCCACAGCCTGGGTCTCTGGATGGGTGACCTTTACCGAAAAGCCTGTGTCTACAAGCTAAACATTTCCTGCAGCTCCCCCAGGGCTGGGCCTGCTGCTTCAAGAATAGCTTCTTGAGCCACCACCAAGACCCCTCTCCTTATGCCCTCTCCACAGCTAGAGCAAACAGAGTGGCCAAGATGCTGAGTTAGCTGCCACTGATGAACAGAAGGGGCAAGCCCCATGGTGCTTCAAAGAGCAAGGACCTGGGAATGAGAATTGGAACCCTTAGTCCAGGGACAGGATAAGCTGAATGCCCCCAGGTCTCCCAACTCCAAAGGGAATTCCAAGAAGACCTTTTTCATCCGCCCTGATATTACCATCTGCTAGGATCTAGCTCCTCCTTCAGAGAACTCCCTCACCTGCCTTTGGCTGCCTGGGACTGTCCAGGTTGGCTGGCTGCGGTCAGCTCTCAGGAATGGGGTCCTCTCCACTACCCCTCTGGCTTCCCAAGGGCCTCAATGGGAACAAGGGGGTGGCAGTGGGGAGGGCTGCAGCACTGTTTCCTGCCATCTGGGCCTCTGCTTTGCCACCAGACCTGTTTCTTCTGTTATAAGATGGGAGGATTTGATCACTGTAGTCTGGTTCCCTCTTAGGGACCCTGGGGAGCAGACTAAGCATAGCCAGACACATGGGGCAACCCATCCCTCCAGGGCAATGAACTGCAAGAGGCTACTGCTGTCCTTTGGCATGGAGGGGGGCAGTGTACTATTGAGGTCACGGGGCCAATTCCAGTCTGGCTGAGAACGAGGAACTATCCAACCTTAGGGGACCACAAATATGGCGGGGAAAATCTGGGTGAACATGTACAGATGGCTCAGGGCCCTGTGGGTACACCCCCTTCTCAGGGTGCAGCTGAGCTGCAAGGGCCTCTAGGCCAGGGCCCAGAAATAGTCCAGTTATGGTTCACTTAAGGCCTACTATTTGTGGTAATGAGATTTTCCCCACCATCTATCCTACTATTGGCAACCTCCCAAAGTGAGAATAATCACATTCTAGTATAATCACACTTTGGTAAATGCCTGATATTATTTCAGATGCACCAGGGACAGCTCGCCATTAAAAACTGGAGGGGATCCTTACTTTGGTAGAGGGTAGATCCCTTTAGTGAAAAGTAAACAATCATTCCCTCACAGCTCTCTGGCATCTCTTGAGAGCCATGCACCCATGTGTACTCAAAAGGGGATAGGCTTAGTGCCCATGATTCTGGCAAAGGTGTCCCTGGCTGGGGTGTGTGGGGCTGGCGCAGAGCTCTTGGAAAGCAGGCAAAAGCTGCAAAGCACCACTCATCCGCCAGCAAGGAAAAAAAAAAAAAAAAAAAAAAACACCTCCCTGCCGTCAAGCTGGATCCATTACAGCGTTCCCTCCTTGGATTTCTGAGGCAGTATCGCTATGGAAGTACATTGCCCAGTCTTCCTTCCAAGGAGTGGCTGGTGAGTTTGAACCGCCAGCCTTCTCCTTAGCAGTCAAATGCCTTAGGCACTGTGCCATCAGAGCTCCTAGTCCAGAAACTGCGCTCTCTCTGCTTGTACCAAACAGCAACTGCAAAGGAAAATGCAGGAAGAGAGGGTGGTGCTGGCAGGTGTGAGGTCATCCTATGACTGCAAACGCACTGCATGTTCTTAAGTCTCATTGTGGGCTGTTCTGTTTCCTTACCTACGCTACAAGAGCATTTTTTTTTTTTTTTTTTTAATCCTCAGGTACAAGGTTTCAATTGTGTTATTAAGATTCCAGGGCACAAAGGATTCCAGATCTTCATGGGGCCCATCCGGCCTCAGTTGATTATCTTTTACAAATAGGGAACAAAGAACCCAAAAGGCTGTGGGTTTATGTAGGGACACATAAGTCAATGAGGGGAGCTGAGGAGGATGCCTGAGCCCCTACACCAGGCTCATGGGATTCACACTGGGCTTTAAGCATAGGCCATGGTGGGAGCTGGGGGGAAGGTAGTGCTCAGGGCACCGAGACAGCACTCCAGGCCCCACCTGGGGTACACTAGGAACTTCCCACGCATTAGCCTCTTGAGAACCACCCTGTGCCCAAAATACTCGCAGAGCCAGGTGCCCACCTATGTGTCTGCTGCACTTGCGGGTGGCATCCAGGAAGTTTCTGGGAGGCAGACTCTGCAGCCTCATCTACTCTCTCAGCCTGCTGCGACTGTGACTCACTCTCTCAGCTTGCTCCTCCTCTTTGCCAAACCTGGATTCTGGTTTGCTTCCCGTCTTGGAGGATTCTGAGAACAAAGCTCCTTCCTTAGATGGACTCTGACACTTCCCTCCATACAATGTTTTGTTCATAGGTGTTGCCAGTGGGTGACTCTGGACAAATTCCTTAACTCTTCCCTTTTCTCTTCTATAATTCAGAAGTATCAACCCCTCCCTGACCACCTCCTGTTGAAAGGTAAAGTGAGTGAAGCAATAAATAGAGGGAAAAGGATTCAGTGAACATCATTAACAACATGGTAGCTCAGGAGGGCCAGTTATCTAGGCTGAACTTCCACTAATGACCAGAAGGGGGAGTTCTTCCCAAGCACTGACAGAAGTGGGGCAGTTACCAGTGCAAACAAAAATGCCCGCTTCCCACACCTACCCCCAGGTATATCTGGGTCAGACAAAGAGGTTGGTTTCCATAGGCTCTGGGCATGGCTGTCAATCCCCCTGTGCCTCCTGGGGGACAGGCTACACCAGGAGTGCACCTTCCCAGCCTCGGCTGGCCTAGGGGCCAGCCTGGGCCAGGCCATGCCACGTACTCACCAGTACACCACCACCGTGTGTTTCATGTACTTGAGCAGCTTCTTGGTCTCAAAGAGCAGGGGGATGTCCAGAATCACATAGCGGTATCCTGGGGGGAGGCCAGGAAACCCACAAGGTCAGTTCTGCAAGCACACATTGAAGATGACTGTGTGCCAGGTGTGGGAACAGAAAGAAGTCACCAGCCCCTAGGATGGAGGGCTCTCACAGTGGAGCAGCCCTGCTGGGGACAGGCCCAATGTGAATGCTAGCCAGTAACAATGCTGGTCAGACCAGAGTGCTGCACACAGATCACGGTTTTGAGCTGGATGCTTGGGAAAGACTTATAGGAAGCATGGACGTCTGCTACTTAACAATGATGGGGGGGGGTGTCCCAGAGTAGGAGACAGCCAAGCACAGGTGGGGCAGGAGACAGTCACAGTCAAGCACAGCGCGGATGGAGCGGATGGAGTGAGGCCTCTGCTGCTCTGGCTGAAGTGCAGCCTCCAGCAGTGTGAGCCAAAGTTGATACAGTGGTCAGGGTTGGCACGAAGGGGTTAGCTGGCCTCAATCCAGAGCTCAGGGAGCCGTGATCTCCAAGCAGGGAAATGACACGGCAGAGTTGCAGGAGCCCGGAGAGCATTTCCAGGAGTAATGACCCTTTTTGCCCTACTTCATCTTTTCTTTGTTCAAAAAACCCAAAAGGTTAGGTTTCCCCTCAAGAGCCCCATCTGAGCCTGGCCCCCTGCCAGAGAAGAGTCTGGTGTGGCCATCTTAACCGACTCCGAGAGGGAGAGAAAGAGGGAGAGGGAGGGGGAAGAGAAAATGAGGGAGGGTGAGAGGAGTGGGAAGGGCACCAGGTCCTCCCAGGGCAGAACAAAACAACAAAACAACTTACTGCCACTGAATCGATTCCTTCTCACAACGGCCCCCTTTGGGTTTCCGAGGCGGTAAATCGCTACAGAAGCAGACTGCCCAGTCTTCCTTCCATGGAGTGGCTGGTTTTTGAACCGCCAACCTTCTGGTTAGCAGTCAAATGCCTTAGGCACTACGCTATCAGAGCTCTTTCAGGGCAGAGCAGCAGCCCCAAAAGGAAAGAGGCTGCTTCTTGGTATCAGAGGCTGACCTCCAGCCAGGACTGTGGGGACCGGGTCTGGTAGTGGTGGGGCTGATGATGGCCAACACCACAGAACTAAGTCCAATGAGGCAAAAGGCACTGGTGGACTTCCTACTCACAAGCTAAGGCTAGTCAAAGGCAGTACCCTCACCCACTGCATGTGGGTGTGTTCCCTGGGCTGCCCACCCAGAAACACTGGTCTACACTTTCCCAGTGACCTGTGTACGTATGACTGAGCTCACAGGGACCCAGGAAGCTGTGAGGGTAAGGAACAGGGACTGCTTCTACCCAGAGATGGCTGGCCTGGATGGGGCAGAGACTGCACCCCTGGTGGAATGATGTCAGGCTCCACACACTTTCAACCACAGAACCACATATACACATACCGACGACGTGGGTGTCATGGGGAATATGGGGCTCAAGGTGATCCAGGGAACTGAGAAGGTGACCCCAGCTGCTGGGTGTCCTGAGCCCTTGCTGCCTGGGAAGCCCAAGAGAACCCCTCAGTTGTGAGGTGGTCACCAGGTGCTCCCAGAGCAAAGAAAAAAAAAAAAATCCAAACTGACTGCCATGGGTTGATGGGAAGGATTACGTGGGCACAAATAGGTAAACCAGTGAGCACCTCCCTGCACAGGCCCTCGCTAAGCACCCCACAGACGTGTCAGCACCTCCCTG